TGGAGGAGTGGGGGGGAGGGGGGGTCTCTGTTCTAGGAAGCAGTGACTCTCAAAAAGATATGATGGATCATGTCATGGTGGATAAGCTGAACATGAGCTCCCAGTGTGATGTGGCCCAGAGAGCAAATGCGATCTTGGGCTGTACAAACAAGAGAATCTTTAGTAGGAGTAGAGAGGTTATTTTAACTCTGTATTTGGCACTGCTGTGACCACTGCTGGAGTACTGTGTCCAGTTCTGGTTTCCACAGTTCAAGAAAGATGTTGATAAATTGGAGAGGGTTCAGAGGAGAGCCATGAGAATGATTAAAGGATTAGAAAACATGCTTTATAGCGATAAACTCAAGGAGCTCAATCCATTTAGCTTAACAAGGAGAAGGTTATGAGGTGACTTGATTACAGTCTATAAGTATCTACATGGGGAACAAATATTTAATAATGGCCTCTTCAGTGTAGCAGAGAAAAGCATAACATGATCCAATGGCTGGAAGTTAAAGCCACACAAATTCAGACTGGAAATAAGGCATACATTTTTAACAGTGAGCGTAATTAACCATTGGAACAATTTACCAAGGGTCATAGTGAATTCTCCATCACTGACTGTTTTTAAATCAATATTGGTTCTTTGAGTGATGGTCCCTATAGTATTCCACTCAGGGTTATACGCATGCACTCGGAGCCAGAGCTTTTCAAAATCCACTGGTCCACAGGTGCCCTTGCTCCACCTCGTGGTTTCGACTGAAGTGATAAAGGGTCAGGCAGACCGACCACAGCCTCAGTTCCTTCTCACCACCGCATGGTCGGACTCAGAGCCCCTTCTGTTCTCTTGTCTCTTTCCTAATTTCAGGAGAAAAGACTGTTTTATTCTTGTATAGTTAGTGTTTTGTTATTTTTGTAATAGTTTTAGTGGTAGTTTAGGATTTTGGGATGCCGTTTTTGCCGGTTTCCTGCCCTCTTCCCCATCAGCACCCACACCTGGGTACTGGATTATGTCGAAGATGCCAGGGTTCAAGATCTGCACTTCCTGCCCTTGCTCATTTCCCATCAGGGACTAGCACCAACACTGTCTTTGCTGCTTGGCGAAGCCCATGTCGCATCCAGGTGCAGTATCTGTCTCTCCTTCCTGCCCATACGCAGGAAGGCCAGGCTCTCCATCTCAAGAAACACCTCACAGCTGTCGCCATGAGGCCGCGGTTGGATCCAGGCTGGGGAACCCCTCTCTCCCTGTATATTGACCTGAGTATCAAGGAGCGCACCTCCTACTGTGGCATTCCAGTCCGGTTCCGCTGGTACCAGCACTACGGACCCCGTGCCGGGGCCTAGCCGTGAGGCAAGGAAACGTGCATAAGCATGACAGTAAGTCTTCCTCAAGACCCATGAAGGATGCTGCATTCTCCATGGGTTCTAACCATGGAGAAGTGGCGCATTCCATGGCATGTAAACGCAACAAAAAGTCACATAGAACCTTGGATCCTCTGATCCCAGTTACCGAACTGCATACCCCTTCCGGATCAATACTCCCAAAGTCACGGGAATCATTGGTTCAGAGGCAATCCTCCATTCTGGCCCTGGTTCTGGCCCCGGCTCTGTCTGTGGAGTGCATGCCACTGAAACTAGGGAAGCTCAAGTCAGCTCTTGGTCCTCATGAGCTGTTTGACATAGATGAGGTGAGGTCCCACATCTCCTGGTGCATCACCTCATCAGAGACCCCACTCCCCAGCTTTGGACTTGCTGCCTTCGGGTCATGTTCCTGAGCATTCTCCTGAGACTCACTTGGCTCCAACTGACATATGTAGGGCAGCCACATGGAGTTCAGCACATATCTTTTCTACCCATTATGCCCTAGTGCAAGACTCTGCGATGCGTGCCTCATTCGGTGCAGCTGTTCTCCGTTCCACAATGCCATCTTCTTCCTTGCACCCTCCCAACTAGATACTGCTTGTCAGTCACCCTCAGTGGAATACAATAGGGACCTTCACTCGAAGAAGAAGCGAACTTCCAGTTACCTGTAACTGGAGGTTCTTTGAGGTGTGTTGTCCCTGTCTGTATTCCAATCCTGCCCTCCTTCCCCTCTGCTGGGGATCTATTCGATTTGCAGTGGAAAAGGAACTGAAGGTGCAATCAGTGTGCCCCACCCTTTATCACGTTGGTCAAAACCATGAGGCAGAGCAAGGGCGCATGCGCAGACCAATGGACACTACTACTTTGAAACTTTCCAGCTCCGGGTGCATGGCCCATGCGTATAACTCTCAGTGGAATACAGATAGGAACTACACATCTCAAAGAACCTCCATGTACAAGTAAGTAACCTCCTCATATTTTTCTAAAAGTTCTGTTCTAGGAGTTATTTTGGGGAAGTTCTGTGGCTTATGTTATACCGCAGGTCTGACTAGATGATCATAATGGTGTCTTTTGGCCTTAGAATCTATGAAAGGTGAATGAATAAGTTATTAAATTAATGGTATTGAGGTTTTAAAAAAAGAAATCCATAACATCTCATAAAATATTTCATCCACCTGTCAATCCCATGCAGTGTTACTGTTTTGCTATTAGAGCAGAGCTAGCTCAAAGCCATCAGTTAAACTTTTCGTTTCCAGTATTTAAGTCCTGATTGCTTTGACGGTGGAGATGTTATATGAACTTCTGAAACTGCATTTTTTGTTTTGTTTTACAGAGTTGTCCTGGTTCAACTGGTGCCTCCCAGGATCATGTTTGCTCAGCCTACTCCTTATTCTTTGCTTCAGGGAATCCTATGATAGACTTTATCTTGATGTCGTTGTCTCAGTTTAATAGCACAGAACTGACAGAGTTTTGAGAGAGACTGGAAATCGATATGGCATTCTGCAAATTGCTTGGAATTGCACGGTTGTATGGCGGAAAAAGCAAAGAAACTACAAAATTTTAAATGTGGTTTTACCAGACTAAGAAGATATTTTTTTAAAACATCTCTTGACTTGATCTTTATTACTGACTTGAGAAACAGTGTGGTACTTCAGTTGGGAATAAGAGTATCCTAAAATACACAAGTGGACTATATCTGATGTGTATATTCTAAAGTCAGAACTGTGATATGTTATTTAAAAAACAATACTTGCAGCTATTAAGTGTACAGATTTTCTGTGCCAATTCAAACCACTTAAAGAGATGCCAAGGTACCAGTAATCTTTCCATCTTCTATCAGAATACGAATAGTGAATAACCTTTTTTAAAAAAAATCTATAACTTAAATAGGTAACACATTTAAATATTAAAAGGCCAGCAAACACATAAGCTAAAATGATATGGTTTTGCTGCACTACATTATGTTCTAATAAAGCCATTTCTGGTAAGACTTTGGTACCTGAGTTTTCAACCATATTGACTAATCTTAGCAGTCCTTGCACTGTTGTTAGAAATCTTTAACTTTCACTCCAGAACAAGTGTGCACTGAATGATGAGTGCAGTTTTAGTTACACAGTAGTTGCCACTAAAAGTCACCTTAGCTGACAGTAGCACTGAAATTCTGCAGTTTTTCCATATGCTTAGAATAGGAAAGAACAATGGTATCTCAGATGTCTCTGTTGATAAATGTTGATGATGTAATGGCCACCACTATACTTCTCTTTCATCTCCAGTGAATTCTGTGAACCCCAATTTCATGCCACTAAATAATGTAGGTGTGTAGGGCCGAATCCCCAGTAAGGTTAGTTTTAGTAGGTTTTGGGGTTTGGGCTGTAGTGCATGTGTGTTTTTAAGATTAGTTTACAATTATGGGTACTAAGTAATGTTTTTTAAATATCCAGTTCTTTAAAAGTGGCATTTTTCTGAAATGTCTTTGGACTTTGTGAGGTGCCCTTGTTAGCAGCGAAGTGACACATCATGTGGAATATTTTGTTTCGTGAGTCCATGAATTTTGAAATAACCTGGGAAGTACTGTGCCAAGCAGAAAATTGTGGTCAGTCTGGCCCTTACTTGAACAGAGATACTTAAGAGACTTTGAGTAGTTTTTTAACACAATTTTAAACTGATTAGTAATTTCTGAATTCTTATAATTCATTTCAAAAATATTTACGGCATTTCCATTCTGAGTATGTTCCTGTACTCTGTGTAATGTGTGTGTGTGTGTGTGCGCACATGTATATATGTACAGATGTGTGTGTGTAATATTTATATGTTGTATATAATTATATAATATATAAATATTGTATGTAGCGTGTGTTTATAGGTTTATTTAAAAATTATGTCTTTGGATGGTGGTATGCCACTGTTTGAACTTAAGCTATAATTTCAGTGAATGAAGGTGTACGCATATACCAACTGTGACATGAGTTTTATTTCACTGGGTGAATGTCTTTTCTTAATGTAGCTGTTTGATATAGAGGGATATATACATGTTTGAGGGCGTTGGCATGTGATGTTCTGCTTCAGTGAGAAATCTGAATCAAACGCACTCCACTCCTGTGAGGGGCTCTGCTCTGCCACTCCTGAGTAATACAGCCACTGTAACTCAAAAAAATAAAAGCTGAACTGTGCACTACCCTTCAGCTATGTATCCATTTGTTCTGTCTGTTCTCTGTAGAGAGCGAATATTTTATTGACATTTTAAATTCAAAATTGTATTCATGCAGTAAAATGAAATCAGTTATTTCACATCATCTGCTTTTATTGTTTTCAGTGAAATGGGCATATTTACCATAGCAAGTATGGGATGTTGTGACCTTGTTTATTGGCTACATCAGCTATTACAAGATCAGAGTTATTCCTTGAAAGGCACTAGTCAGACAGTGGAGCTATCTGTATTGAGATATCCTAAATAAATTTAATCAGCATGTTCAAGCTGCTGAAGAAAACTGGCAAAGTACAGTTGGACATATCCTTTTACTGTCTTCACCAGTTGATTGGTACAAAGGTGTTAACCATCCAGCTTTCTTGGTTATGTTCTACTATATTTAGCAAAAGCCACCACTTTACAGTCCTTATTCAACTAGCATTCCCATTTGAGCCTGATGGAGCTTTTGCCTGAGGAAGAACTACAGGAGCAGATCCCAATTATATAAAGAAGTTCTCCCATAGGTAAGAGTCTGCTGCTATGAGGGGGGAGGGATAGCTCAGTGGTTTGAGCATTGGCCTGCTAAACCCAGGGTTGTGAGTTCAATCCTTGAGGGGGCCACTTAGGGATCTGGGGCAAAATCAGTACTTGGTCCTGCTAGTGAAGGCAGGAGGCTGGACTTGATGACCTTTCAAGGTCCCTTCCAGTTCTAGGAGATGGGAGATCTCCATTAATTTATTTATTTATGATAAATAGAAATGAATTTTCAGACTTGAGGACTTCATCAGATCAACATATCTTTGGGTGGCAGGTGGGGGAGAATGTGTTGAAGGACAGAGGATGGGGGAAATATAAAATATTGTGGCTTTGTTAGAGTTAGAATGCACTTTGACATGATCTATAAAATAGCTCAATCTTCATTTGACTACACAAAAAGCATTCTCCCCTACTGAATCCAAGCCAGCAGCCCTTACTCAGGTAGAAATCCAGCCGAAGCCAATGAGAGTTTGCCTGACTAACGATTACCAGAGCAGGCTACCTGTTAGTATTTTTGACTTTGTAAAGGTAAAAGTTATCTTGGTTAATCAGGTCTCACTGAAAGAGACAATGGGAGGGGTTTAAATATTGCTTATATATTAATATTGAGTAGTCCCAGAAAAGATTCAGAAATGAAATGTAAAATATTTCATATTTATTATTTAGCAGTAAAAAAGCACATCAGTTTTTGGAAGAGCAACTTAGTTTTAATTGTCCCTCTAATTTTCAGTGAGTACTGACATTGATTGATATCAAACACTTCTGACCATAACTGTAATTGATTTTAACAGGAAAATACTCTGAGAAAAGACAATATTCCCTGTCCCCTCTTGACTCTGAGTTACTTCCTGTAGAAATCCAGAAGAGCAATTTTTCCTAGCCCTGATATGTGCAAAGCCACTAGAATATGGACAATCATGCTGCATTTTGTGTTATAGAATCATAGAATATCAGGGTTGGAAGGGACCTCAAGAGGTCATCTAGTCCAACCCCCTGCTCAAAGCAGGACCAATTCCCAACTAAATCATCCCAGCCAGGCCGGACACTGTCCCTTGTGCAGTCTTCTGTACAGTAGTGACATGTGTGAATTGCAAAGTAACTTCCAAATAATGAGCATTATTTTGTGGTAACTCTGTTGGGAAAACAGAAACATAGTAATGCTAATACAAGTTTCCATGTAGTAACTGCTATCTTGGAAACTTGGGAATTTACCAAATGCATTGTTGCATGTAAGAAAGGGATATCTTGAAGGAGCTGTATTACCTGGAGTGTGTGTTTATGGAGAACATTTGGACTAAGCAAAGAGTGAATACATAGTCTTACATTGTAAAAAGAAGAAAAAAGTTGATCTGTGTGTGTATATTGGCTTTTACCAAAAAGGGGGAACGATACGAGATTTGTGAGAATTGACTGATATATGAATAGGGATTAGATGTTTTATCCTAGGGCTTTTGACATCCTATAAAGCTGTGAGAGTAGCAATTTATTAATAAATCTGCTATTTCTCATTGTCATTTTTTTAAACTTAAGAGAAAAATGTTGACTACTTTGTGGCAAACAATTGGTTTTAGATGCTGTTTTTGTATGTTTTATTAGATTGGTTAGAATCTAAATATAATTCACTGTAATTGTTTGGCAGGTTAACTACTATGTTGGTGTGAAAATGCCAGAAATTCATAACACCATTGATGGATGGATGTACAGTGTGTATAGCTGGTGTCATTAGAATTTTGTGTTGAATATCATTGTGTTAAATTTTGTAAAGTACCAGTGTACTCTCTCTCTCTCTCAAATGGCAGTTGCACAAATCACATAGGGCTAAAAGCTCACCCCATTAAAATGAATGGGAATTTTGCCATTATCTTCAATGGGTCCAGGATATAGTACGGGGTCGGCAATGTTCGGCACGTGGCTCGCCAGGGTAAGCACCCTGGCAGGCCGGGCCAGTTTTATTTACCTGCTGAGGCGGCAGGTTCGGCCGATCGCGGCCCCCACTGGCCACGGTTCGCCGTCCCAGGCCAATGGGGGCGGCGAGAAGCGGCGCGGGCGAGCGATGTGCTGGCCGTGGCTTCCCGCTGCCATTGGCCCGGGACGGCGAACCGCGGCCAGGGGGAGCCGCGATCGGCCAAACCTGCCGCATCAGCAGGTAAATAAAACTGGCCTGGCCCGCCAGGGTAAGCACCCTGGCAAGCTGCGTGTCGAACGTTGCCGATCCCTGATATAGTAGAATCATAGAAATGTAGGGCTGGAAGAGACCATAAGAGGTCATCTAGTCCAACCCCCTGCGCTGGGGCAGGACCAAGTAAACCTAGACTATCCCTGATAAGTGTTTGTCCAACCTGTTCTCAAAAACTTCCAATGATGGGGACCAGAGTCAAGGACCCTTGCTATCATAAAGAGGAAAACTCTGAAATTATAACAATACCCACATCACTCTGATCAGCCTTATTTGTCTGTCTTTAGCAAGTCGATGCTCTTATTGATGAGATGCTGGTTCATATTTTGGGCAGTGGTGCTCTCCCAGCATCCATAAAACATGAAAAAGCCTCACTTAAGTTCCTTATTTTAGGAGGTGTAGAAATATCTATTTTGACTCATGAAGGAGTATTGCTGTTAAGTAACATTTGTGGAGGATACAGAGGCCACAGTGAAATCAAAACCTGTCAGTCTGCTTACAGCATTTACAGTTGGCATTTTAAGGCAGATGAAACAATAATAAATAAAGGGGGAAATTCATCTTTATTTGAAGTTTTAACAAGCAAAAGTAAGTATTTGTGCAGATGTTTTGATTCCTGTTTTAATCTTGGATCACTGCTATGTCTGGGACCGTGCATTCTGACATAAATTTCTTCTGAATTCCATGATCCCACATCACTGCACACTTGTTCTTTTTTTACTAGATTTGCATACAGGTTCTAAGCAAAGTGAACACTACAGCTTAATACTCATTAAAAGAAAACAACATTGCAGAAAATATCTGTAGCAACACTGTGGTAGATATTGGTCCAGAAGAGATGGTGAATGGATGCAATGGCCCAGGTTTCCATAAGTGACTGGTGATATGGGGTGTCTCCATTTTTGGTAACCCAACTTGAGACCTCTTAAAGGGCCTGATTTTCAGAAAGCGCTTGGCACTCTCCCCTGGAAGTCATTAAGGTGTCTCAAGATGGGCACCCACAAATCAAAGCCCCCAAAACCAAATCACTTCTGAAAAGCTTGCCTGATTTTTTTCCATTTTGGACCTGGAAATAATTTATAAACACATAATTTATTGCATCAGTATTTCTTCCTCACTCCCTGCACAGGTGTTGTGTGTTCATAACACTTCAGGAAATATGATTGCTGGGTTAATTGTTAAAGCTTCCATTCGGCAGTCATCCTTGAGATGTTTGTTTAGAAGACAGTAATTGACCTTGCGTACAGGAGAGTAAACATAAATTTGTTTTGTCTTCCCTGTGTTCCTCACTTGCCTACTCTCTCATACTTTCTTTATGTTGCTTCAGTGAATTTTTTCACTATTTCATAATGAGTATTGGATTTTCATGGATGACTTTCACCTGTTCTTATTCAGAACACTTGTTCTTATTCAGAGCTTTCCCCCTAGATTGTGGCATTCCCTCTAACCTTAGTTCCACCATATGTAAAAGTCAAAATAAATTATTTTCCTTTGTAGATGGTCCGTATGTAGACGTGATGGGTACTTTTGTTGTTAAAGCACAGGACTGGGAGTCCTGATTGGGATCAGATCCCCATATATGGCATATAAGTGTATATTTCCATACATTTAGAACTGCCTCTGACAGGATGGGTAACCTCAGGAAAAGCAAACTGATTGGAGAAGATGGTGTACCGTGAATCGATGATCTTAGAGAATGATGGGTGGGTGGGTGTCAGAGAGTGAGTGGGTCATCTGGTTTTAAAGCCACTCTATCTTAAGCTACGCATCAGCAGTGCCTATATTTCATAGGCTCTTCTACTGCAAAATCACCTTTTAAGAGCTGCTTGTCATACCCATTGGTTATTTAACTGACCTTTGAATTGGTTTTGAAATTCGGATTGCCCTTTGATATTGTCCTCATTTGTTCTAATTGCCTATGAACTTAATACAACTACCTTGGGTTTAAATCTGTGTCAAATGTATGGGTCAGGAAAGAGACAAAGACATTTTAAAAAGAATTAGAGAAGCTTCTTGAAAATTGATGAGTCATGTTACAGTGCCCTTGGCAAGAAGCATAGTGAGCTCTCTCACGTTGCAAGAATTTGCCTCATGGGGCTCTATGTTCATATCATTAAATGGAAACCCAGCAAAATTTCACTAACAGCTCTCTGATTATCCCAAACTCTTTAACTAAGTGTACCTTCCTGTATGTTGCTTAGCCAAATGTAAAGCATTGCCTCTGAATTTGGCCCCCTGTCTCTGAGCAGGATTTTCACTGGGTTAAAATTCTGCT